CGCAAAATATAACAAAATTTCAAACAGATATTCCTATAATAGACAGATAGAGACACAAATAATGCAGTTCACAAATAATTAACTTAGGATTTCATCTTAATTACGTATTAGGCGTATTAAATCATGGATTAACGTTAATTAGAGGTCGAGGTTGTTACATCTGTCTATATTTCTGTTCTCATGTCTCTCTGAGCATTCTTAGGCATAAATTAAGCCTCATGTAAGACTTAATAAGCTAGAAATGGACTTAAAGGAATTGAATAGAAAAGAATGATTCGATTTAGCTATGTGTTTCAATGTGTATATATTCATGTGTTATGTGTAGGTTGATCCGCGGAGGAGTAACATCCAATCTAATCGTTGTAAGTAATATCTTAGTAAAGATATTTTCGTATAATGTATTTTCTAAATGTTCTATTATGGTAAGCTTTTCTAAACTTGTGATTTCTTGAATATGAATGAGTTTTCCATTCGTTTGAACGATATGCTATGTAATTGATGAAGTATAAATGTGTAAGGTGGACCCAAGGTTGTTCTGTATATCCTATTGGTTTGAAATATTTGTTATGTGCTAGACCAAAAAGTTAGCCCATTGAATATCTGAAATGTGTTTGACCAAATGGTCATTATATTGATCTGAGACAGCTGTAATGAATTGGACCCAAGGTTATTCTGTTAAACTCTGTTTTGTTTTGTTTTGTACATCTGCCATATCTATCATATGATAGACCTAAGGTCGTTTTGCTATGTATTGGATCAGGGATCGTTCTGTCATGTATTGGACCTGAGGTCGTTCTGCTATGTAATGAATAGGATATAAGAATGATGATGATAAGCATTGAAACTCATTCATTAAACCCTTTGCTGTGATGTTATTTACTAGGGTTTAGCTCACCCATTTCCCTATATATATATAGGTGAGCAACAGGATGTTCAACCCTAAAGTTTGTTAGGAAAATCACCCATGCTTTTGTGAAGTCAACCGATGAGTGCCTTAATGTTGAGGCTTTTATTTGTTTGGTCTTATATGACCCTGATATGCATATAAGTTTTGAGTTTTTGTGAATTAATTATTTATACTCCATATATGAGTATTTGTATATACAATCATGTATGTATGTATATGTATATACAATCATGTATGTATGTATATGTTTTGGGAGTGGGTTATTGACATACAAGATTTCTATTTATGTCATCTATACACAACTTATTGGAAAAATTTATTATCATTATATTATTTTGCTTGCGCTTTAGGCCCTGTGTCTTTAATTATACTTTGAAATTCTGTTTGAGGCCATAAGGTAGTCTTATGATTACTAGCCGGTTACGATCCAAACATGTAGGGATGGGTTCGAGTCATGACAATGTGTTTGTGCTGGTGTGTCACTATTGTCTCTTCTAAAGTGGCCTCCCTAGATGTTTCAGGAGAAACACTTTGCTTTGCCTCTGCCGATTACCCAATCACAAGCTTCCACATCTTGCTTCTACAATGTTTCTTTGTTCGGTTCGTAGAATAATTTGTTGGGCAACACTAATATCTCAGTGCTGTAATGTGAGTGTTCCTCTAACAGTGAACCAGATTGTCCAAACTATTCTTGTGGTGGTGAATTGATTCTATGAAATCATATATATGCCTACAATTTGGAATTTACGGTGTCCAAGAGATTGACTCTCAAACGATATAATCAGGTATGTTATTGTCATAATCCTTGTTCTTCTTCTTCTTCTTCTTTTTTTTTTTTTTCCTTTTTTTCTTTTTTGCACATGATGTGGTCACTACTCATGGTTTTCAACTTTCTTTATTTGCAGATATTTGTATTGATTTTTTATGCTTATGTATTAACCTGTTGTTTGTTTGTTAGTATATAACTTGCACACCATATGCTTGACAATATGTCCATGAGCGAACATACTTCCAACATGAGGCGAAAGAATATGCTATCCATGATTTGCTCCAAATATCTTCTGAAGTCTTTTTATTTATCTTAGTAAAAAAGTATCGGTTAATTAATAACCTAAGAACTTGGTTTCATATAAATACTATTGAAATTTAGAGTTGACAAGAATTAGGCAAAGCATAAATTTCTGCAAGTGATGTGTAGGCTATGAAGCATGGGTACTTCGACAAACATACTATACTCGTATCAGATAATTATCGGTGTATGGTACTACGTATGGTACTTTTGCATACGTGGTACGCAAAACACATACCCAAATTTTTCTTCTTAATTTTTGGTGTGTCTAGAGGCATCTAGTATATACCTAAGTCATACTGTATCTTAGTCGAAACAATATTTTCTTCTATTACAAAGATAAAATCCTTTTACTAGATTTATTTTTCATTTTTAATTTTATACTTAGTATGATCTTAAAATCAAGCTATGACTTGTCAATTATTTAATATAATGATATTTAATTTTGATTTATATCTTTACTTTTGTCATTAAATGTTAATTGTAGATTGAATCTTAATAAATTAAACTATTTAATCAATCTTTGTAGTACTCCAAATTATAAATAAATATTTCTTTACAGCTTTTCATTTGCATCATACTATAGACACATTTATACCCTCAAGTGTTTGTATTTTTTTTTTTTCTATCTTCCACTTGTATGTAATTTCCTCAAAAAAAATAACTCTAAATTCATCCAAACCTTTTAGCCTTAGTTTGAAATGTGTGTTGCTTTTTGACTATCTTAGCCTGAGGCTAAAAAATCTCGTTTGAGATGAACTTTTTAACTTTTTTTACTTTTGTAAGAGAAAAAATGAAATAATTATGATTTGGATGTGACCTTTTATCTTATTGATTTTTTAACCTATTTTGTCTTGTTGTGGCTAAAATAGCCAAAGTAGCCTCTAAGCTCGTTTGGGAAGTTTAGTTTTGAGTTTTTTTTGACTGAAATAGCCATAAAAAATAAAGTAGGCTTTTTAATTTAATAAGACAAAACATCACATTCAATCCATAGTCATTACATTATTTCTCTTACAAAAAAGTCAAAAACCATTCTTAAACGAGACTTTTTAACCCTAAGCTAAAATAACCAAAAAAATTAAAAAACTAAAAAGCCAATCCACTTCCTAAATGAACCCTTATGCCAAATTATTTTGTCCACCATAGGGGTGGACATCAGCTAGTTGGTTTACCCAGCCCAATTTTATTTTTTTAGGATTTGGGAAGGTTAGCCTATAGGGCTGGGTTGAGTTAACATATTTAACCTGACTTATTAATGGGCTGTGCTTGGCATTATATTTTAAACTAACCTGACCCGTTATTAAATTAATTAATTAATTAATTATATATATTAAAATATATATATTTTTTGTTGGGATCTAAATTTTATTTTTGTTGATTTTATTGAATTTCACATTTGTAGTGATGTGTGATTGAATTTATTTAAGGAAATTTCAATTTATATATAATTTTTTTATAATTAACGATAAAATATGAGATAAATTATATTTATAATTTCTACAATTTGTCACTTATGACAATATAATAAATTGTATCATCCATGAGGCTAAATCCTTAAAAGTTCTCAAACTGTAATTCAATTAATCTAGCATTTTTCTAAGAAAGTGGACAGAAGTAAACGACAAAATGATCCATTAAAAAAAATGAAAATGAATCATTTTAAATTGGACAGAAATCCCGTTGATAGCCCATTTAGAAAATAACGTTTTTAATTTTTTAGTTAAAATATGACGTGAAAAGAAGCAATAATATGCTTGAAAAAGAATTTTTGATATTTTACAAATATATATATATATATATATTGTAAGAGGGGCTAATTTGAGCCCACTAAATTATTTAGGCCCAATAGCCCAAGATTAGTGGGCCCGAATTTATCGCAAGTCCAAGTTAGGGGTTGTTTGGGGTGTCCTAAATAAGTGCACTTTTTGTCTTTTTAGACTAAAAAGTTGAGAAAAAAAATATGAATGTTTGGGTTAATTTTTTGACTTTTTATAAAAAATGTATATTAAAAAATTGTGTAGGAAAAGATATGGAGTGTGCCGTACGGATGGGAATATTACAATCGACAGTGAATACATGAAAAAAGATTGTCAACCTTTTAGACTTTGATTTGACGGTGTTGTTCGGCCCGTAAGGGCCACCACAGGTCTTATTTTTCTAATCGGAACCGTTTGATGTGTAGAAATTGTCGAGTACTATATGTTTGTAAAAAATCACGTTGATTAGATATCAATAGCTATCTGATCGTGTTAGTTTTCTTTTTCAATTATTAACTATACTACCATCCAATTTTTATATAAAACTAATTTGATCATGTAGTTAGTGATATTTGATAGACGTGATTTTTTTCAGACATATAGTATTAGATAAGTTCTACATATTGACGATTCGAATTATCAAAAAGAGACTCATGGTGGCCCCCACAAGTCCAACTTTACCATTCAAATAAGTAAATGTACACATTATTCAGTGTGTTTGGTTTGAGTTTTCTGAATTAAGTTTTTTGAAAACTAAATTTTTTGGTTTTCGTATTTTTTTTATTTTTAGTGAATATTTTTAAAATTTTAAATATTTTTTTATTTTTTTAGATGCATCTTACTTAGATGTATCTAAAAAGTAAAAAATTTGTGAAAAATTATTTTTAAAAATTAATAAATACATAAAAATACAAAAAATGTACTGAATTTTCGTATTTTTTTTTGTATTTTTGGTATTTAGTGATTAGTAAATTACTTAAAATATTAAAAAAATTCAATAAAAAAATACAAAAATTAAGAGAATAAAATTTTTTTAAAAAATAAAAACAAGCAAGGTCATTCTTCCCAAATTTATGGTACCGAGAATGCCAGCTGAGCCAGCGTGTTCAAAGTCCACAAGTCACCCAAACCAAGAAAAACAAACAAAAAACGACCCCGTATTCCTCTGTCCCAATCCAAAACGCCGCCGTACAATCCGTCCGGGGAATGACATTGCCGTGACGAAACGTTTTTGCTTTTTCCAGAAGCTTTAAAAATAAACAAAAAGCAAGAAAGCTTATCCATGGAAGAAGCACCTTACCAATACACAGACATCAGACCCATACCTAGACATCAGACCCATACCTATACAGAATTATTATATATATATATATATATTTATATCTCTCGCTTTGGCTTCAAGAGTACGTGATCAACCATCTCAAGCCAAACCAATTTCTCTCTCCTCATCACTCTTTGTTCTCTCTTGTTATACTCAACAACAAAAAGCTTCATTTCTGTATCTATAGATCAAGTCAATTTACTCTTCCTTGAGATGGCGTCAATCACACCCATTTCTCAATCCCAACCCCTTTTTAACAACACCCAATTCAGGCATAGGAAGTTCAACAACATGTTTTTCACAAACCCCAATTTCAGAGCTTTCACTGGCCAATCTTCTTCTTCTTCTTCTGCGAATAAGAATAAGAAGATGGTGGTGATGGTGTCGGCGACGACGGCGGCGGAGAAGCCGAAGAAGAGGTATCCTGGGGAGGCGAAGGGGTTTGTGGAGGAAATGAGGTTTGTTGCCATGAAATTGCACACCAGGGACCAGGCCAAGGAGGGGGAGAAGGACTCTGAGGGCCCTCCTGTTGCCAAATGGGAGCCCTCGGTTGATGGTTACTTGAGATTTCTTGTGGACAGTAAGTTGGTGTATGATACACTTGAGAAGATTGTCCAAAATGCTTCATTTCCTGAATGTAAGTTTTCATCGTTCTTTGTGCTTTTTTGTTATCTTTGTGTGAATTGGGTTTTTCATCATTTTTGCTATTTATTGCTGCTGGATTCTTTCTTTGCTGTTTGTTTAGGGTTCTATTATTGGCTAGTTTATGTTGCTGTGAAAACCCACATAATATGATTGTGTAAAGTTTTGTGGACCATGTTCTTTCTTTCTTTTAAATTACAAGTAATAGGTGAATGTTTTTTGCTTTGTCAACTTAACCAGTTAACTTCATTGCTCATACATTATTGGATTGGAGAAATATCTCCAGCTTCCATTGTCTTTGGGATTATAGATAAGATTTCAGTTTACAAATGTTTTTGGTTATGTATAATTAGTGTCTTTGGGTTCGTTTTGGAGAAATGTTTGCCTCTTTTGTAGTTGAAAAAGAGGCGACGATTAAAACACTGTAGCAAGGGAGAAAAATTGGATGCAAGAGAGAGGAGACTCACCAGCTCACCAGCGCCCCATTGCCATCTCCTCTTCTCTTTATCATCTACAGGGGAGGGGATGAGGGAAATGAGGGTTTTTGTGGGGAGGGAAATGGGAGAGGGAGTAGGGTTTCAAAGGAGGGAGTTTGGAGGGGATGACGGAGAGGAGAAATCAGCGAATCACAGGTTTACATAGAGCAGAAAAGCAAAGGTTTGTAGAGAGAGAGAGAGAGAGAGAGAGTGATCTATCTGTATTTTATATACCATACATATAAGCCGGTTGGTTGATTCATTTGGTTTCATAATTAACTTAACTTCTGCCGAGCCAAAAAAACTGAAAATCTAATGTTAACCAGATTGAACCAACTGAGAAAACTGACCAAAACCTTTCTCTTTGGTTTCACTGGTCAGTTACACAGTTGATTTGGTATTTTGATCACCCCCATGTATAATATTTTCATTGCCCGTCGCAAAACATTTAATTTGGAAATGCAGAAGAAAGGGCTAGGCAGTGTGTTGTGAGGGAACTGTCTTGTGTTTGATTTATATGATGTTGGATTTTATGCTTCTTCAATTAGAATAATTCTATGGATACTAACACTTGTACTAAAAGTCTTACTAAAAGTGCTAGAGGCAAAATTTGATTGATTTTCAAAAAAACAATGATATGTGGATATCCAATTATGTTTGGATACATATGTTTTTAGTAAAACTTTTAGTGCACAGCATTGCTCCCTTCGATCATGAGTTTGTTGTCATATATTAGATCTGGACTAAAAGTTGTAGTAGTGATTTGTTATGCATTGGAAGAAAATAATATTCCATGCTTTCCTGCTACTCTTTTATGATTGGTGTGCATAAATAGATGTTTACCCTTATTGGGCAAAGAGAAACCAATCATCTGTCCACTACATACTATAAAAAACTCAGATTGCATTTTGATTTGAAATAAATGGATTTGGGCCATTCGATATCAATCGTTGGAGGTGTATAACCTTTAATTCATTGTAATATTTTCGATATGTATTTCAAGAATGGAATTGGGGGCTTGTATATTGATGGATTTGAAATAACTTGGTGAACAGAGTCATTTGAAATACTTCCATGAATAATTTATTAATTCTACTTGTATGCATCTTTTATGTTTCTATTCATTCCTCTACTTTAAAATTACTATTACCAAAGTTACTAGGCTAACTCCAATAATTAACTTTTCAATAATTTTATGAATATTAACCTCAAGTCCTTTCATTTCAAATCCACTCATTCAAATTGAACCTTATAGTGTTTTTAAGATTTTGATATCGTAATTCTTAAGATTTTATTTTAATGTATCTCTCTTAAGTGAATGCTTGTCGCTGATGAATAGTTGCAAGTCACTGATTAGGTTTGGTTAAATCAATGTCCTTGAGTCTCAAGTCTTTAGCATTGTTTTTACTCAAAAGAGCTTGTTTTATGGGAAAATGAATGTTTCCAAGCAAAAAAACTTCTATTAGAAGTTACAGAATATTGCTATTAGAAAAAAAAAAAAAAAAACCCAAATAGTACAAATTAATGTGTGTTTGGGAGGGGGAAAGATTGGGTACACGCTTAACCGTTGGCATAGTGCACAAAGTGATTGCCTTGAGACTTGAACCCATAACCTCAAGGTTATTAGGCCAAGGAGTATCTTTTATAATTGTATTTATGAACTTTCCAAAACAATTTAGGTTGATTTTTTGAATGAACTGGTCAATCATGTTGGATTTTGTATTTATGAACTCTTTTAGTTGTATGGGCTGCTTGATCCATCTCATCCATTGAAAATTCCTTCATACCACATGTACCCCTAGTGTTTTTATGTAACTGTGAGATTTAAGAGGGGGGAAGATGGGGGAGTTAGGAATTGGAGAATGTAAGAAAAAAAGTGTGTCATCTCAGCATGTACAAGAGGTGACAGTCAACTGCATTTGTTAACTTTTGACTAATTTGGAGTAAATTTGGGTTTCTTTCCTTCATTGGGGATTGCTTAAATCTCCATTCTTCTGGATTGGTGATGGTGCAAATTTAGCTTTTTGGGGGATGCGGAGGTCATCTTAGGTTTGTGCTATCTTGGGAATGCAGAGGGTTTTGGGCTGCAAAACCTTTTTGTGTGTTGGCAGCAATGAATGGACCATTTGAAGTTGGGAATCAAGTGCTTATGCGTATCATCACCCGAACCCTAGCGCAAACCCATTTTGATGAACATAAATATCTTGGGTCAGACCCTAGAGCAAACCCATTTTAATGAACATTAATTTTTTGGATCAGGTTTTCAAGGAAATGCTGAAGAACTATTCCCCTTGGTCGAATATTTTGTATGCCCCAATATTTATTTTACATCTCTTTCCATTCAAGATACTTATAAAATTAAAAACCTTGTGGAACACAAGGATGGAAGCCATGGGAATGTGTGGTCTATAGATTCTATACTAACAGTGAATGTTTTATATTCTGAGACCTGTTTTGTGGTTGTCACTTGTGCACCTTTTGACCTACTTAGACTATGCTGCTTTGTTAAAGCATTAGATGACTTGACCTCATGATGGGTTGGTGAAGTCACAAACTCCATTTTGTGACTGAGATATTAGATAGTTATCATTTTTCGAATTGCTCATATAGTTTGAAAGTAATAATCTTAAGAGATTAATTACAAATGATCTGGCAATGAGCATGTGTGTGCGCATGTGTTTGTGTGTCTACATGCTGCACGAGGCATCTTTTCACCCATGACAGAGCTAAAAGCCCGAGACTATATTGTGTGTTTTTTTCTGCAGATGCTGAGTTCAGGAACACAGGATTGGAAAGGTCAGACAGTCTGGCAAAAGATTTGGAATGGTTTAAAGAGCAAGGTCATACAATTCCTGAACCTTCAACTCCTGGTGTTAGCTACGCTAATTATCTCGAGGAATTATCAAAGAAGGATCCTCAAGCTTTTATTTGCCACTTCTATAATATATATTTCGCACACACTGCTGGTGGTCGAATGATTGGGAGAAAGGTAACAAAATTAGGCTGGAAATTTGTATTAAATTCAGATTGGTTTGTTAACAGTATCTGTAAACATCTCTTTTTTCATGGATGGGCTGTTTCCACTGTAACTTCATGACCTACTACCCTTTTTATGAAGTTTAAAACATGTCCATGACTTCATGCAATAGTTCTTCATCTGTGTGTTAATTATTCAAATATGTATCTAATTTATCAAAAAAAATTATTTTGTAATAATGTATTTATTATGTAGTTAAGGTTTGGTTTGAGAATAGACTATTTTAGTAACTTTTTGATTTTTTACGAAAAAATGTGCAGAAAAGTAGAGAAAGTGATGTAACAACTTATAGTGATTCTTTGGCTTCTTTTATTTATCCCAAATAACAAAACATTATAGTAATAACTATAATAATAATTGAAGTAGGCCTTGGGGGTTGTTGCAAAAACCTTAAGTCATTTGGCTGTGATGCACTAAAGGAAAGTTTATAAGTTTAATTGGATTTCAGGTAGCTGAAAAGATATTAAACAAGGAGGAGCTGGAATTCTATAAATGGAATGGTGACCTTTCCCAACTGTTGCAGAATGTGAGGGAGAAGCTGAATCGAGTTGCTGAGGTAGTTCTCTTGGTGCTGTTAATATATATGTATATATCTTTTTGCTCAACATACCTCCTTTTTTGTCCATTTTTATATTGAATAATGTTTTTTTATATAACTACATTGTTTATCGCGCTGGTTTCTAATACAAAATATGTGGGGGTTCAATCAGAACTGGACTAGGGAGGAGAAGAACCACTGTTTGGAAGAAACAGAGAAGTCATTCAAGTTATCGGGAGATATCCTCCGTTTAATACTGTCATGATTCGCTAATAGCGCTGTTGTTGTTGTGTACTGCTGTAAGTAATGGCGCAAGCGCACAACATTTGTTCATACTTGAAATGTTTCCTTTTCTCCTTTTCATTACTCGAAATGTTTCCTTTTCTCCTTTTCATCAATGATTTTCATGAATTTACCATTGTGCATAAACAGAACCATTTTTAAGATCCAAGTAAATTTAGAAATGTGAGGTTCAGCCAGCCAAGTCATAATATTTAGGGGTACATGCAGGTGGGAGAAGGAAAAAACAATTACCTACACATGGGGGTGTAACTTGCATCCATACAGCCTTTTATTTGCACCTCATCACAAATACACTTGCACTCCCATGTGTTTGTAATTTTTTTCCCCATTTCCCACCAACATGTAGTTCCGCCTAATATCTGTTTGCTCTTTTAATCGCTTTTGGGGCGGTGATTGTACCTTTTTTTTGGGGCAGTGATTGTACCTTTTTTTTTTTTTTTTTAATCTTTTTTTTTTAATATATAGGTTTCAATTATTTTTCCGGCCATGGCATTGAAGCCAATTTGGTAATGATATTGAACTTATGGTATACACAGCTTGCAAAATTTGTTTGTGTTTGGCCAGTTTGGGTGATGGGGAAGTAGGATAAAAGAAATTTGTTTTGGTGGGTTTTTCTGTTGGAGAATGAAAATCGTTTAAGGCTCTGTTTGGTGAACAGTATCTGGAAAGTGGCTTTGGATAGGAAGTTGTCAACTGTTCCAGGTGATTTATTTGTTTCACCGATTTAGTTGTCGATAACTTCATGTGTCTTGCTTAGTGTTTAATCTTTTTATACAATCAGTCTTAGGAGAGTTGTGTGTTAGATAATCTGACTAGCAATCGACATGTAAAAATTCCTGTTAGATCCATTTTGAATATGAATCTTAATATGAATATGCGAGTAAACAGTAATAAAAGCTCTTGGCATACCAGAATATCAAAAGGAGGATTCACATAGCAATCACACTTGATTGAGAGGCTAGGTTTAGTTTAATTTGATTACTGATTCAGTTGTTAATATTCTATCTCATTGAAGTAATTACGTCGTAGAAGCATATCAATGAATTTATTCTATTATATAAACAAAAATATTGTGAGTCTTTGTAGTGGAAAGTCTCGATGTGTTCTTCTTAAATATTTTGAATTGCTATAACTAAACTACAGGTTAAAGATCCACAGGTTACAAAGAGTTGTAGCAACAATGTACACAACTAACATCTGGATTTTAAGAAGCAATCTAAAAATTAGACATAACTTAATGCCATGACAGTTGCTTTCAAAAGCTTCTTCAACATCTTTATTCAAACAAAGCTTGTTTGGTGTAAAGAAGATCTAAAGAGAATTAGCCACAATGTTGTGAGTCCTCTAAGTCTATTCCTGGTCCATCTACCTAACAAGCAATCCTATATCATCTTTGGGTAAATTGTAAATATGAGCTTTATTTGAAATACAAATGGTCTCCTGTGAGTCTAAAAATTAGATTTCACATTTTCAAGTTTTTAATCACATAATAAATGATTCATTTTTATTAATAAATTATCAAGTTAATTTAATTTTTTAATGATGTCAGAAATATATTTTAATTAACAATTCAATTAATTTAATTGTTACATAAGAGAGTTGTTAGAAATTTTGTTTACTTTCATTAATTTTTTAAATAAAAAATTCTGACAAATGAGTATTTGTAATTTTCAAAATCACAAGGGACAATTTGATTTTAAACAGCCTTTGAGGGGTGTATTTGTATTTTACCTTATATCTCTTATGTTTGAATTATGAATTTAGATAAAAATTTAGAAAAGAAAATAAAAAGATAAAATAGGTGATAAATCCACCCTAATAATTGCATAAGGTATTAGGTCAAGTGAATATTTTTTATTGATAAAAGGTCTACTATTTGTGAAATAGTTTAGTGAAAAGACTTTTTGTTTGTTTTGAAGAACATTTTGTTTTCAATTTTATACCTTAATTTATCTATTTACTTTATTTTTATCTATTGACTTTTGTTGACTATCTATTCAAAAAAATTTCCTATCTGTTCAAAATTTTCCCTATCTATTCAATTTTTTTCCCTATTTGTTCAATTTTTTCCTCTATTTGTTTAATATTTAATCTTTTCAATTCAAATTTTCCTTATCTGTTTAAATATTTATTCAAATAAAATTCTATCTGTACAAATTTATTATCTGTTCAAATTTTTTGACCATTTATTTAGTTTTTTTTTTTCCTTATCTGTTCAAATATCTAACCAAATTTGATTATCTGTGGAATTTTATCTACTAAAAGAGAATAATATGTTCAAATAACCCTTTAAAAAAATCTATCTATTAAAATTATCTATTGAAAAAATATATCTGTTGCAAATCTATTTGTTCAAATTCTCTTTCTATTGCCATTATCTGTACAAATAAAATTCAAATTCAACAACAAAAAAGAACAACTACAAATATATATATATATATATATAAATAAATAAATTTGAACAAATCTAGATCCGAGAAATTTGATGCAATTTCTTCATCATTATCAACAACAACGATGACGACGACGACGACAACAACAATAATAATCAACAACACAGAAAAATAGAAAAATACATACACAAATTCGTTTTGGAAATGATATATATAGATGGTTCAAAATTTGGTTCATAGATATGTATACACAGATGTGTATGTATACAAATGGAAAAATAAATAAACACCTATGTGAAAGTGTATATGTTAATTTTTTGAACAAATCATGGCATTTTATCTATTAAAAAACTATGTAGAAATATCAGAGCCATTTGAAACAGATTAGAGCCAAAAGAGATCCCTTATCTGTTTAAATCTAACTATAGAACTCATCTTTCTATTGCAATTTGTTTCATCAACAAAAACAACAACAATAACAACAATAATCAACTAAAACAATAGATATCTGTTCACTAGATCTACCACCACAACAACAACAACAACAATAAAAAGAGATCTGGAAGAGAGAGAGAGAGAGTAAAACCTTAAAACAAACCTGATGGAGACCACCCACAAGCTTGATGGTTTAATTGACCATACCTAAGAGGTCAAGAACCAAATCCCCTTGGAACCTGGACACATTCAAACATATATCTATATGCACATATAAATATACATAAATTGTATATTATACATATAAACAAGGTGTATACAATACGGAGAAGTCAGTGTAATTGCACACAATAGATTGATCAATAAACAAACAAACATGTATATCTATATCAATGATGTTGATAAAGAATTGCTTAATTGGTTGGTCCAAATAGAACTTAGATCTCGCCGTGAACTCAGATCTCGCTGCCATAAAGTCGAAAATGGGACCGAAAGAGTGAGAAATGTCCAGATCCACCATTGATCTAGAAGACTGTCAGAGAGAGAAGTGGATTCTAGATTTGAGATTGGTGGTGCTTCGATCGAGTTGTTGGAAATTGGATCGGGTTTAGAACCCAAACCCAATTAGGTCGCCCATGGTGGCATGACCTGATTAGGAGAGATCCAAATAAAAAATAGATTATATTTCAACATATGAGATTATCTTGATATAGATAATTGTCAATATATTAGATGATAATTATTAATTAGATATTGTTATATGGAATAGATGATATATGGGATAATATATCTATCCTATGGGTGTTCTAACTCTCTCACATAAACAGAACTTGAGTTCTATATTTACAACAACAATCCAAATATACGTTCTCTTTTTCCATAAACCATTCCGCCTTTAAACTATGATTGGTGTGGGTAAAACTTTAGTTGTTTTACTCCATTGTTGTGGAGATTATTCAAGAGTACGTGATTCATCTTTTAAGCTGGATTCATTGTGCAATCTGTTTACCCACAAGGTATGTCCGAACTCATATAATTTTTTGCTGTGTATAGTATTATATTTCTTTCATTGGTATCAGAGCCATTGTTAAAGTGTTTTTGTACTATTGAATATCCATGAATTAGTATTTTATGCTAATATTTGTGTGTATATTATTTTTGTTTGCATAAAATACTGTTGATTGATCAAAACAGTTTTATCAAATTTTTTTTTTCTGTTTGCAATTCAATTTATATTGTTTATAAATATTCACATGTATATAATATGTGCAAAATTATATTAATTGATTATGAATTATTATTTGTAATTTTATGTTTCAAAGTTATTAATGAAAAAAACATGTGAAATCGGAATTAAAGAAAAAAAGAAAAACAGAACTGACAGCACAACAAAAGGCGCTACACTAACGCATATGTTGACATGAGCGCTGGCTCAACGCGCTGCCTAACCTGAGGCAGTGGGATTAGTTTTTTTTAGGCTCTGTTTGTTTGTTTTAATTTAAAAAATTACATTAATTGCTCTTAAAATATTCATTATAATTCCTTTTTCAGCATGACTCGTATGGTTAGTCTTGTAATTATTTTTTCTACAAACTGTTTAAATTTCAGATTTTATGAAACGAAAAAAATATTTTTTTGGGTTATTAATTCAATATTTTTTACGTTAAAATGCTTCTATGCATGCATAATTAATTTTCTAGAGTTGATTTTTTTTACAGAAGTATATTGAAATCATATGCTATGTAATGGTATAAGAGTTATATTGTTTCACTTTCTGAAATATTTATTTACATTTTCTGTGTATTATTTTCATTAAAGAAATCACGAAAAATTACAGAAAATTCCAAGATAATTCTGAAATTTATTTTCTGATGTTTAGAATATTCTGAATGTTAGGAACATCATGATTAATTTTTTATGTTAGAACTCATGTTGTTATCCTCAAAGCATGATTAATATTAATTAGAATTTTATGATAAAATATTGTTTATTATTTTTCGGATTGTATTATTATATTGAGATGCTCATATGTGAATTTTTCAAATCATGCTTATTGCATGTCATATGTACTAGACGATTATTCTTTTGATAAACCTATTCAATTTTATTTTTTGCGTATTAAATTGAATTGAATGTTTGATAAAAATCACTAGAAGCGCAAGAGATGATTATAAGCTCAGCGGATTTTCGATCTTGCGGCATATGTATTTTTTATTAAAATTTAATTTGAATTTTTGTAGCAAAATTATTTTGTATCGTGCTAAAATTTTATCCCCTGCTCATTTTTTCTTTCGATATAGTTAACTATAGCAGCAAAAGGCAATGTAGCTAATTTGACTAAGGGAGAAAAGCTGGATCACGATAACTATGATATTTGGCGTCGTAAGATCCACTATCTCCTAAATGAGCAAGAGGTCTTGGAGACTTTTGAGCAAGTGATGACTGAGCTTGAGCAAGGCACTACAGCTCAGCATCGTTGGGATCTTGAGGCTTATAAAAAATGGTGCAACAAAGATCGATGTGCACGCTTTACAATGTTAAGCAGCATGCATAACGACTTGATAGCAGAGTTTGAAGGTCCTTGATTGCTTTTGAAATGTGGGAGGCTTTCAAACAAAAATTTGGCATCACCTCTTTAGCTAAGTTGCGTGGGTTGACCATGAAATTTGATTCCTATCAGAAAAAGGCGCATCATTCAATAAAGCAGCATCTGAGGGTAATGTCAACTATGATATACGAGCTGGCGGCAGCAGGTCATAATCTGACACAAAAGCAACAAGTTTAGGCAGTGATTCACTTACTTTCTCATTTTTGGAAAGAAATAAAGCGTCAAATGACGCACAATTGTAGACACCTCATTTTGATTTCCTTTAAGACTTGGGCGTTTCATTCCGAACACTCGAAGATGAAATGTTATATTGTGCAATCTTTCGATTCTTCAGTAATAGAATTCAGTTTTAAGTTTCGAACCCAAACCATACACCCCATTTGGACCAAAACCTATTTTTCTAGCCTAACTACTCAAAGAGCAGCAAGGCCAAAAGTTGACCGGCAGGCCACATTTTTGGGCCGGCCGTACATCCTCTTGGTCAACTGGCCATGTTTAACACAGAAGATATTTCTGCAGCAGCAGGCTACTCCCATGCACGGGATTTGGGCCAGCTGTCTTTTTTGAAGATATTTCTATTGAAAAGCGGTTGAAAATCTATAAATAGGCCATCTCCCTTCAGAATTTAGGGTTAGAGAATTGTTTTACAAGCTTAGAAAATTGATTCAAAGCAACTCTCCACCTTTTTGCATATAGATACACTATAGATACACCATTGAAGCTCACACTTGAAGCTTTTTGTTGAAGTTTTAAACCTTATTTCAGATACTTGAGGGTGTTTGGATTGAAGTTTGTGAATCAAAAAGCTCTTCCTCTTTCCAAGAGGTTAACCTTTGAACTCCTTTCATCACCTTTTCTTTTACTATTTGCTCTTTATTTCTTGTCATAATATTATGATTTTTAGAGCTATTGTAGGCTTAAAAATGTGATTTAAACTTTGTTGAAGATGGAGGTGGAAGGGTTAGCCACCCTTCCATAGGCTTATCCATAGTTGTGTTCTCTTTGTTTTCTCCATGCTTTTGCTCATTTTTCTTCACTTTTAAATTGATTTCAGCACAGTCTTAGTTAGTCATTTTTAATTTTTTTTTTTTTTTTTTTTTTTTTTTTTAATTTTTTTTTATTTTTAATGAATATGGAGTGTATATATGTGTTTAACGCTTGATTCTTGATTCTATCTCTCTTCTTCAAAGGTGTTGTAAGCTCTCTTCTAGTTCTATCTTTGAAGCATGGAAATTATGTCTCATCCATATTCCATGAGTAGGAAGATGAGCATACAACAACTCTTTATTGCTTTCACTCATTTGCTAAGTCTCGTTTTGATTTTGCTTTGAAGCCATATGAGAGCTCTTTTATCAGAAGTATTAGAGACTCTCTTCTAGTTCCTTTTGAAGCATGGAAATGGATTTCAATCCATGTTCTATCAGTAAGAAGATGAGTCTCTAATTGCTTTTCTCAATGATATAATCACTTGTTAATAAGCTTCTCTTTCAAAAATGGCTTTCTCTAAACTTATTCTCTCTAAATTTGAGTACTCACTTACTCTTATTTTCTATGAGATATAGTAGTTTTAGTCATCTCTTTGAATGCTTCTTTCTTAATTAGCCTTAGTTTTGTATTCATTAAATATTATGTCTTGTTGTTTCATGAATCATAGCAAAACTATTCTCTCATTGAATATCTTCATGACAAGAGGGAGTAGGAAGGTTGAACATCCTTTGCAAACCCTCTGTTTTGCTCTGTTTCAGTTCTGTTTTAGCAGGTTTTTCTCCAGAAATAGTTGTCGGTCGACCATTCTCCTATATGGCCGACTAGTTAATCAAGTCGGCCGACCAACTCTTTTGTACGACATTGGTGGTTTTTCAGTTAAAGCAGAGCAGATCTTGAGCTTAAAACAGGACTACTTTCTGATTGCGAACAGGGCAATTTCTGGCAACAAGTAGAGACGTTTCCGGAGGATGTTCTTTCTTGTGCACACACGATTTCCCGCCTCTCTTTTAATTCCTTAAATTAGTCACTTTCAAATTTGTGTTTTGTAATAATTAGTTAATTCATTTGTGTTTGTAATAATTAGTTGATTAGGACATTCGGACCCTCTTGTACGATGACAAATTTGTAACATTTGATGTATGTCTTCCAACCTCCATTTCTTTCTCCTTTTTATTTACATGCTTATCATGGTTGTACAAAGCATCATGTTTTCCTTTATCATTCCCATGCTTTGTATCCATTTTTGCATGCATTAAGGTTCAGCTCGTCATACTTGATGTTGTTATCATTTCCTACTTGATTATGTGCGCAACCTCATGTTTCGAGTCGATACGCATATCAGGTTAGTAGCCGAATCTAGTAGTTGCATTTTTATATGCGTTGCATTAGCCATTTTGCATATTAGGATCATGTAATATTTTTTTTTAACTATCTTATTTTCTTTGGTTTGCCTTGGTTGAATACTAGGTGAGCATTTTTGCTTTTAGCATATTATATGTGTGTTTGTGTTACCAAGTTGAGCATACTACCATGAGGCTACTTGTTTATTTGAAATAATTCTATGAATGCCTATGGATGGAGGCTATATTACTTAAATTGGAATGACTATGATTGTTGTATATATGAGCTCATTTTATTATTGAGTTGCATATATTCTAAACTCTTTCAAAATCGCATAAGATTAAAGCAATCCAAAGTAAGTGACGTGATCTATACTTGTTTGCTTCACATAGTAATGTTAGTATATTAAATAATCAGAACATGAACATATAACGTCTATAAAATTCATATCATGATTTAGTAGAGGCCAATCTTTGATCGGGTGAGTGGGGTGCTCAATTCATGACCTTCCCCTCTCATACCTAAGTTCCTGAGCCAAGACAACTTTGGTTATAACAGACAAGTGGCCTTTGGCATGAGTCATGGGTTTCCTAATTTTCTAAAAAATATTAGGTAATGACTCTGAAATCTGGCAATGTAGTCCATTTTTGGTATCTCTTATGATTAATGGATTTTCTAAAATTTGTCGGATCTGGATTTTCATTTGATTTTTTCTGTTTCACATTGCACTTGTGAAGCTAGATTCACAACCACGAGAGTCTGAACTATAGGGAATCGCATTCGAGTAGACTAAACCCCTTCGAGGAGCGCGAAAACCAACTACAGTTTTTGGCTTATTTGCTGGGGATATTAAAGAACTTGACTTGAACTTCATTGTTACACTCCAAAATTTTCCCCTCTGCTCGAGCGCAAGAGTTAACGTTTGAGCGGTCTTGTGAGGCTCCCAGTACTTTTGCAGTCTGTCCGAGATTCTGAGATTTGTAAATTTTTGCTCGAGCGCAGGAGTGGTCGCTCGAGTGGTCGGCTTTGTTGGTTCGTTCGCTCGAGCGTAAAATTGGACGCTCGAGCGGTCTGCCTGGTTGAGTCTGAATTTTTGGAATTAGCAGGATTCCTCTTGACATTTTTATTATTGTGTTTGGAGCCTCCTTGTTTTATTTTAAGACATTGATCGAAGTGGTAACATGATGGCAGAGTAAGATTGGACCAAAAACTGACTTGGATAATTTTCTTATGGACAACCATCACTCTTTTCTTTTTTCACACTTTGAATTTGGGTGTGAGGCTAGAATCATTGGAAATCTTGTTTTCGGAGCTTCAATTTGGACACAAGAACGACCTAAAACGAAGTCTAGATAAGAGAGTTATGCCCGTTTCAAGTTTTACTATTTGTGCTGGAAATAGGTGTGCTCGAGCGTAGGTAGCTCTCGAGCAGAGTGCACGAATTCAACAAATTAAAAAGTGCCTTTCTAGATCATTCCCTTCACTTTTATTTTCTCTATTCCTTCCCCTCATCCTTAGTCTGAAAAATCCTAGATTTTTTACCCAAATACCTTCCATTTCTCAAAGATTTGGCCAAGATCTCCCACCAAAAAGTGAAGAATATATGAAGATCTCATTTTCCTACCGATTGGATTTTGGTTTTATGAAGGAATCTCTTAGAGCCTTGCTTTCTTTCTTGATCCTTGAAGTAGGAATTTCTAGTTCTCCTTCAATACTCTCATTCATCCTTATGCTCGAAACTCAAAAATTTTAACTCAGGAAAGTTCAAGAATGCTAAGAACTATAGAGGGTTTACAACATCGACACACCACACGACACTAGAAACTCCGAAAATAAATCAAATGGTTTGAAAATAAAGGATTCAAGTCGGGTCCAAGAGCTAGAATGTCACAATCTTCCCACCACAAAAAATTTTGTCCCCGAAATTAAAATAACACGGTAACGAGAGAAAATTAAAACAATGACAACGATATGAAATCAAGTACTTGAAATAAAAACTAAGTTCCTTCAAACAACTCTGAGAATTTAAGCAAACTTCGACTCCCATTCCCAATTCTCCTCCTCAACTCCATGATTCCTCTATAACACCTTCACTAACGGAATGGTCTTACCTCTCAACATTTGTTGTCTAAGACTTGAACTGGTTTCTCCTTGTACGAGACATCCTCATCAACCTCTAAATCGGCCAAATCAAGTACATGTGAAAAGTTAGACTCATACTTGTAAAGCATAGAGATATGAAACATGTCATAAACCACGAAATGTTGGGGCGGTAAGGCTAAATGACAAGCAACCTCCCCAATCCGCTCTAGAATCTCAAAAGGCCCAATTAATCTCAGAGACAACTTCACACTCTTCCCAAATCTCATCAAATCCCATCTCAACGAAATTTTGAGAAATACATGATCACCAACCTCAAAAGATAAAAGTATTCTTCTTCAATTGACGCTACAACAAAAAGCACATTTGGTGGCAAAAAAATTGGTCACCAAAAATACAAATTTCGTCGCCAAAAGAATCGGCGACAAGTACACAATTGGTCGCCAAAGGCTTGTCACTAAAAGTATTGGCGACCAAATCATAAGTTGTTACCGTATGTAGACATTTAGCGACAAGCAAAAATGGTCGCCAAAAATCATATATTTTGTCGTTGTAAAATTCTAATTTGTCGCTAAAAGGTTAAAATTTTGATAGGCTATGTAGTTTTAGTGACAAATAAATGCGCCACCAAAAGTACTATTTAGCAACAAAATTAATTTGGTCGCTAAAAATCAAGTTTTTAGTGACGAGTGAGTTTTGGTTGCTAAAAGTTCTTGGAATAGCCACTAACTTTTAGCGACAAAAACAATATGTTGTCACCAAATATATTAACAGTGACCAAAATATCACCTGTAACTAAAAATTCACTACACAAATTTTGATTTTAATAATTTCCTTGTTCAAAATAATCCAAAACACTTGTTTTTCTCTACACAATATATATACAAATGTAATGTAAATAATAATACACATGTGCAAGACATTCATAATAATTCAAAAATTAATAGCTATTAAACATCCCAATAAATATAATTACAATTCTCTAATAATCTAAAACATTCATACCAAAGTACTTACAAACTATTAACATCAGACCCACAAATCCATTACCAAATCCTATGTCAAAATATTTTCAAAAACACAAAACCAAATATTTTGATGCTAAACATCTAACCCACAAGTCATTTACCAAAATCCTATATCAAAATATTTGCAAAAACACAATACCAAATATTTTGATGCTAAACATTTAACCCATAAGTCTTTTACCAAAATCCTATGTCAAAATATTTCCAAAAACACAAAATCAAATCTTCTGATACAGCCCGAACTATTTTCCACAATTGCCAATCTGTCACATGAAAAAGAAAAAACAATATTAGATTGACAAAAAAAAAAAAAAAAACAAACTCAGTATGAATTTCACAATTTTGATTTTAATTTTGTAACGGGAAGCCCAATCGGGGTGCCGTTTGCTTATACAAGTTTATTTAGTCTTGAGCAAGCTGCCCATGCTAAGTTTCGGCGGTTTCGATGGTCATTTCGCAATTTCGGCCACCAAACGGGCCTTTTAAGTCTTGTGTTTTACAATTTTTCTTCTAATTTTCTAATTGGAAATTCAATCGAGGTCCCATTTGTTCCTACAAGTCTATTTAGGCTTGTGCAAGCTGGCCATGCCAAGTTTCGGTAGTTTCGGTGGTCATT